CTCTACTATCATACCTCGGGGCCGTTATTCATGCAGTTGGTTCTTTGACCTACAATGACCTCCCTCCCTTCACCATCCAAATCCTACTCACTCTTCAGGGCCTAATTCAAATGCCACCTCCTCCTTGAAGCCTTCCTAGACCTCCAGTCAGAAAAGATGTCTTCTTTCTCATATTCTCAAAATGCTTTGACTGGATATAATTCATTTCTGGAAGGACCACACTCTGCCGCCTTCTCCATGTGTCCAAGTCCCCTGCTCACCCAGGAGCCAATGAGCCAAACCCTGTATCTCAGGTGCTCTCCTCCAGCCTTCCCAGGGTGGCCACTGTCAGCTCAAATGACACTTCTTCCAAGAAGCCTTCCCTGGTCCACCTGGCTAAAGCGAGTCTTCCTTTGACCTCTATTGCTGCATCTTTCCCCCCTTTTCATTCATCACAGCTTTAACCATTTTATTTATCTGCTCATTATTTTTTTCCCTCCATCTTCTTCTGTCCACCGACTCAGACTAAAAACTCTGGGAGGGCAGCGAACGTTGGTATGTGCCTGGCTCACAGATGGTACTCAATACATACAGATCTGCCTCGACTTACCATGGGGTTACGTCCTGATAAACCCACCATGAGTTGAAAATATTGAGTGGAAGAGTCGCTTAATACCCCTAACCTCCCAAACATCAGTTCTTAGCCTAGCATACCTGAAGCGTGCTCAGTTGAGCAACATCGTCTAACACAAAGCCTGTTACAACTCATGCAATTTATTGAATACAGTACTGAACGTGGATAAAAGACCGGTCACGTGGGTGCAGAAGGGATGCACGTGTCACTTGTTTACCCCCCTGCTCACGTGGCTGACTGCCCAGCATAAGGAGAGAGTATCTGACCAGCTGTCACCAGCCCAGGAAAAGATCAGAATTCAAACTCTGAAGTACGGTTTCTGCTGAATATGCATCACCATGGCACTGTTGGAACGTTGAAAAATGAGAAGTTGGACCGCTATAAGCCAAACCATCGTAAATTGGGGATCGTCTGTATTGGCTGGAGGGCCAAATGGCACACGGAGGGTATGTAATACATGCTTGTTGAGAGGTTGACTGGCATCTCCAGGGCCCTCCCTTCCCCACTACGCCTTGCCCACTGTTGGCACTGGAGGAAGTTGGTCAGATTTCATCGGCGTAGCCTACAGTTTTGGGAAACGCTCAGGGCGCTGGGAACTCCCTGCCCTTCATTAGCCGCCCTGCCCACCCCTGGGATGGCTGTGCCACTCCCATGAGGACTCACCTACTCGCCATCTGTCAGGTAGACTTTATCCAGCCTTATCTTCTCAAATTTGTGTTAACGAAGCAATGGATTTTTTCCTATCAAATTATGTATCAATATTTTTTTAAAGATTTTATTTATTTATTTGACAGAGTGAGGGCACGAGTGGGCAGGAAGGGCAGAGGGAGAGGGAGAAGCAGACTCCCCACTGAGCCTGAAACCTGACGTAGGGCTCAATCCCAGGACTCTGGGATCGTGACCTGAGCCGAAAACAGACGCTTAACTGACTGAGCCACCCAGGCGCCCATTACATTCCAGTATTAAATGGATCTTTCCAAACTACACTCTCCCAGAGATTCTGCTAACAACCCTTCCATCCCTTAGGGTGGATGCTCCCTGGGGTGGTGGGCGGGGGAGCCTGGGCCCGTGGGCATCCTTCTGGCCCTGAGTCCTATTTGTCTGACTGACGGTATGTTACCACGTCACGTGTATAAGCTAATGGTCCTGTTACAGAAGCATGAGGGCTGCTTGTTTAAAAATGTTGATTCTTGGCCCCATCTCAGAACCACAGAACCAGACCTGGGGGAGTGTCTGCACCAGACCCAGGAATCTGCATTTTAATGAACTTCCTGGTGGATGCTGAGGCAGAGTCAAGGTTGAGAATCCCTGAGCTGGAGACAGAGAAAGGACCCTGTCAACCACCATTCCTCCATGCCCCAGGCCAGCAGAAGTGGTGCCTGTGGGACCTGGGCTGGAGCAGCCCCACATCTTGGGTGGCTGCAACATAGGCCACAGCATCAGCTGGTGTCCTACTGGCTTCTGAGCTCATTAATCACAACCTGACTGGCCTCCACTCACACCCAATGGCTGGCTGGGCCTCGGCCTGGGCCTGGGGCAGGCAGGCCAGCGGTCCAGGGAGGTGGGTCAGAGGGGACCAGGGCCTACTCCTAAGGAGAAGCTCAGCCTTGGAGAACCCGCCTGTGCCAGGCAATCTCTCTGATGGCCCTGGTGACCCCAGCTCCTAGCACTCACACCCCATGTAATGTAATTCCCTCTCCTGGAGTGGGGCCTGAACTGCATGACTGGCTTTTAACAAAGAGAATACGGCAGAAGCGATGAGATGTTACTTTTGAGATGAGGTCATAAAAAGATTATGGTTTCTGTCGTGGGTGCTCTCTCAAACTTTCTTGGGTCAGTCGCTCTGGGGGAAGCCACTGCCCATGTGAGTCCCTGTGGCGAGGGACTAAAGCCTGCAAACAACTGTGTATGTGAATGTGGAAGCAGACCCCGCCCCAGCACTACCATCAGATGACACTACAGCCCCAGGAGAGACCTTGCACCAGAGGCACCTGCCCTGAGCCATACCTGGATCCCTGACCCTCAGACACTGAGATTACAAATGCTTGTTTTCAGCTGCAACATTTTGGGGTGACTTGTTGGGCAACGATGGGTAACTAATGTACCTCTTCATCTGGGCCCCACCCAGGGACAGCTCTTCCTCCATTGCTCCCTGAGCCCTTAGCCACGGCCGTGCCAGACACTGTACCAGTCTCCCCAGTGGGATGTGCTGCTTCACATCCCCAGATCCTTGTAGAACCCTCCTCTGGAAGGCCGGGGCCACCTAGTCAACATATCCCTCTCCCAGGACTCAGCCCCAATGTCACCTCCTCTGTGTCACCTCCCTACCTCGCTCCACCAATCTGCCCAGCCCAGGTGGTTCCAGTCAAAGCCAGTCAAAGGCATTCCCTCCTTTGTTCACTTACAGCCTGTCCCCACCACTAGATGGTGGCTCCTAGAAGTCTGCGCCACAGTCACGTTCTTCTGTCCTACCTGATGTTCCGCACAAGGTCTGACAGAGCAGGCACGGGTGAGGTTTGATGAGTGAATAAATGATGAGCAAAGAGTGACTGATTCTGCACCCCATGGCCTGCCACCTCCCAAGGCTGTGCTCTTTTTACACTTAAGTACAGAAAACCAGCTCTGTTATCCTCCCCCAGAAACCAGCCTTTTTTCCCAATGCCCCTGACTCTTTTCCAGGACCGTCACCTCCGCACAAGCTGAATTCCCTCCTTCCTCCTTTCTAGCCCAAGTACTCACGCCATTCTTCACATCCCTTGATCCTAGCACCGTGGATGGCCCGGCCAGACAGCCACCATCTCTCGGGAGCACGGCTACAACTGCCCCACAGGCCACTCCTCCTCTCTTGGGCACCACGGTTATCCTCCTGGGGACCTCTAAAATGCTGCTTCAGAGCATAGAGGGGGGAGCCACGGGGACGGTGGATGCGACAGCATTTTATAAAGGGTAGGATCATGCGGTCACCTCAGGCCACACAGTGACTGGCACTTCAGGAACCCTAGAATTGGGTCCAAACTCTTAGCCTGGCATTTGGAGGACCCCCAGGATCTGATCCCAACAGGGAAGCCAAGAGGAGGTGGTACAAGTAGGCTTTAAATCACCATCCAGCTCGCACCATGGAGTACTTGTACCAGGCCGGGCTTCGTATACATCACATCTCATTTTGTTAACATTTATTAAACTCCTACTGCGTACTACAAGCCATTATAAGTGCTTTACAGCCTTGAATTGTTGAGTCTTCACAAATACCCTAAGAAAGAGGGTTTCATGTGCAGCCCAAGACAGACAGCTAATAACAGGCAGGGCTGGGATTTGAACCCAGGTCTGTCTACCTTCACAGCCTTCTTACCACCATGCAGTCCCTCTTACTAACTTCTTATGTTTGCCACCCACCTTCACAATTGTTTGCCACAATCAAACAGCACCTGCACTATTGCTTACTTAGGATTTCTCCTTAAATCACCCTAAACGGTGAGGTGGCTAAGGGGTGGACTTGGAATCACACTACCTGGATAAGACTCCTGGCTCCCCCACTTAACTCTCTGAGCCTCAACTTCTTCCTGTAAAATGGCACCATCCCTCCCAGGGTTCTTGTGCGGAGTAGTAAGTTAGACATACAAAGTGCTCAGCACACAGTATGAGTGGTGGTTAGGAGGCCTGGCTTCCAGCGGGCCTGCGCATCTCCCTGCCCCTTGCATTGGAAGGAAGCGTGTGACTCGCCTGGGCCGCTGAAGTGTGCAGGGGAGTGGCGCGTGCGCATGGCAGGCAGAGCTCGGGAGCCAGCACGCCATCCACCTCACACTTCTCTCCGCCCTCATGATCACCGCATTCCAAACGGTGGCGCCTCCATCCGCCTGGCTCCCTGAGTGCGGGATTCCCAGCCGACCCCCGATGGGCAGGGAGCATCGAGTGAGAAATAAATTTTTATTGTTTGGTCACTTCCGTCAAGCCTGGCCTGTATTGACGGATGCAGCAAAAGTCCAATAAACATTAATTTATCCCAGTTATTTACTAGGCCTCATTTCTTGATGAAACGACATCACTTTTGTAAATGAAGACATACGGCACCACTTGCTGTTGTTAATATTCACATAATAATTAAGATGAGAAACGTTTATCCCTGTGCCCGCGAAAATCACCTTGCCCGCTCCCCATTGGACATACGTGTACCGCCGTTCTAGAAGTGCTCTTCAAACGTTGCCCTCTGAGACACGGAACACTGGCTGCCGATTTGGGAAGCCCGGCCAGAGAGTGCCTCATGGTCGGCTCCAGGCCACTGCCCTTGCCAGCCTGAGCCACTCCCCCCCCCCCCCCCCCCCCGCCCCCCCGTGCAGCCCCCGGCCCCTCCACGCCCCCACAGGGGCACCTGCCCCGTCGCGGCCCTTACCTCTGCAGACTGTGCCATTCTCCACCGCCTCGAAGCCCGCTTTGCACATGCAGCGGCCAATGGGCACCAACCACTCGCCGTCCCCGTTACAGTAGAGCTTGATGGGCACGTCCACCTCCTCGGCGTTGGCGATACAGCTGCCCCGGGCAGCCACGAGCGAGGTGCTCTCGGCCCCCGAGAGGGTCTCCTGGAAGATGGCGCCATTCTGGATGATGCGGGGGCACTTGCGGTAGAAGACGCGCACAGCGATGAGGGACATACAGCCACCATAGTCCTGGAAGGCCAGGTAGAAGCCACTGCGGGACACAGGCCCAAAGCTCCGCACCTCCGTGTTGATCTTCATGACTCGGCCACCCAGGTCCACCTGCGAGAAGCTCTCGTCGGCCGCGATGGTGTCCACCTTCACCCATGGATTCTCCATCCAGTTGGGGAAGGTCTTGGTGGCCGAGTCAAAGTCGGCCTCATAGTAATAGAGGTTGAAGGTCTCCTTGCAGGAGCCGGGCACGCTGGGGATGCTGCTGCAGTCACGCACCGAGAACTTCATCTCCACGTGGATGCGGTGGGCGCCGCGGCGCCGGATGAACTTGGTCCGTAGCCAGTTGTTCTGGCTCGACTCAAACACATTGCACACCTGGTACGTGCGGATCGTGTTCATGTTCTCATCGTAGCCACTCACCTCTTCCCACTGTGGGTGAAACGCTAGTCAGTTGGGGGAGATGGGGCTCAGCCCCACGGGTCGTCTGGCTAGAGGGGAGACACAGACCCTGTCTTAGGGAATCCTTCAGTTGGATGGGGGTAAATAGGACTCTTGCCACTGGGGGCCTCCTAGTCTAATGGAGGAGGCATACACTCTACCCTAGGCATCTTCTAGTCTGATGATGGAGACATGATTCATATCATCAGAGAACTCCCAAGCTGAGGAGAGACATGGCCTTGGCCCCGAGGAATTCCCCAGTCTGTGAGGGAGACATGCCAATCTGATGGGAAGGGCACACACCCTGTTCTTGCTTTTCTCCTGATTAATATGGGAGATGTGACCCTCACCCCTGGGGTGAAAAAGGCGATGTGGCCCCAGCTCCTGGGAAGCTCCTACCTAGAAGGGAAAATAGCGAGAGGCCCACCCTGAGGGAATTCCCTCTGCTGGGAGAAGACATAGCTTTGTGCTCGGGGAGTGCTAGTCTGATGGGGGAGTCAGAACGTCTGCCTACTGGGAGCTCCTATTCTGACCAGGGAGACACAGTCCTTGCCCCAGGGGATTTCCCAGTCTGACAGGAGAAGAGCCTTTATCCCCACGATGATGCGGAAGATAAGCAGTCTGTTCTGGGGCCTTCCGTGGTTAAGATACCACTAAAGGGGTTAGGGGACCTGGAGAGAGACTTTCTGCCCTTCCTGCCTACGGCAGGTGTCTTGGCACCCTCTCTGGGCCCCAGACTGGCTCTCGCACATGCAGCTGAGAGTTCCCGAGCCCCACTGCTGGGGGCTCGGGGCAGGGCCATGGAAGGCTGGGGATGAAGGCCACCGGCCCCATGGTGTCTCCTCACAGACCCTCACAAGCCAAGCTCACTCACATGCTGAGCCTTTGTTCACAATTCTGTGCCTTCCTCGAGTACCCTCTTGTCTTCTCTGTCCATCCTTCTGGAGCCTCTTGCAGCAGGCTCTCTCTGGCTGCACACAGTTTGCATTCGCCGGCTCTCCTGTGGGCCTCTGGGGACACCAGCCTGGGTGAGGGCCAGGCACCCTTGGGCCTCTCGGCCTGGTCTCCCCAGCGGGGCTGAAAGCTTGCTGAGAGGAGCTCCATATCCCTCCTGTGTCCCCTTTGGCACTGGGCTGGCTTTCCCTGGGCTAGAGCCAAAAGAGCCAAAACAGCAGAGCACCCCTTCCCACCCATGCAGGCCTGGGGTGGGTGCTGGAACAGGACCTCATTTCTTTGTCATGATTATCGCACATGCTATATTATCATCACCATTTTACAGATGAGTGAGTAGAGACCAGGGAAGTGAGGCCCCTTGACCCAGGTCACACAGACCTAGACCCATTCCCATGCTTGGGCACGCTGCCTTGAAACACAATGACCCACAGGTACCCCAGGAGTCCTGGGTTTTGTTCCAGCTCTGTTAACTTGATGCATGGCCTTGGGCGAGTCACTTCCCCTCGCTGGGCCTCTATTTCCCCAACTGCCAAATGGGACTGTGGGTGGGGGGTGGTGAGGCAGGTGGTAGTAGGGGTGTCACCCTCAAGTGGGTGTTCTTTATTCTTCTGCCTTCCTCAGATATCTGGGCCAAGTCTGTGCGGGGCGGTGTAGTGGCTGCCGGCCTGGGGAGGGTTGATGTTGTGCAGGGCCAGTGCCCGTGGGGAAGGCCGAACTGGAGCCTGCTGGCCCAGCCTCGACGTCAGCGGTGGCTCTGAAGCTCCCTACATTGCCTTTTTTTTTTTTTTTTTTTTTGGTGGCACCATGTGACAAAGTCAGCCCCTTGTTACAACCACTGCTCTTCTTCAGAACTTAATTAGAGCACTTAATTAGAGCACTCTGCCTTTCTCCCCTCTCTCTAATTAACATGCGGAGGCCCTGCAGCCTAAACACCCCAAATAATTGCGTCCGGGGGCCCTGCAGCCGAGCCTGGCCTCATTCCTGTTAGGGTGGGGCTGCGGGCCCGGCCGCCTTCGCAGATGGAAAACTGGTGACAAGAAAGAGCCACAGAAAGAGGCCTGACCCTAGGGCCCTGCCTATTGAGAGCACAGGCCTGAGGTGGGGGATGCAGCTCCTTGGGGCGGCAGCAGAGTCCCAGTGGGAGGAGCTGGGATGGGGGGAAGGGAAGGGAGGGGCTGGGGGAGCCCAGAGCCCTCTCCGGAGCCCAGGGGACGTAATGATATAAAAATGATACCCTGAGAGCGTAATGATATAAAAACTCATGACCGTGACAATGATGATGGTGGTCCGACTACAGCTACTCATCAAGGGGGGCGGGGGGGGGAGGGGGGCACCCTCTGTCAGGCACTGTGCTAGACACCGTGCAGGAAAACCTCACACCAGCCCTGTGCAGAGGACATGACCACCATCATTTCATAGATGAGGAAACCGAAGCTCGGACAGGTTAAAGAACTGGTGCCAAATCATGCAGCCGGTGAGTGGCAGAATTGGGACAGAATCTCAGGCACGTCGGGTCCCACAGCCTGTATGTAAGTTGGTGCTAGAAGAAAGAGGAATCTCAAATTCTGCCTGTTCTTGCTCCTGAGGGATTCACAGCCTACCTGGGCTCAAACCACTGGCCCCAGGGAAGTAGGGCCCTCATGGAAGTGTGAGGATAAAAGCCCAGGGTGGGGGAGTCTTGTGTTATGGGGACCCAGAAAGGGGGCCCGGAGGACTCAGTCACAGCCCTGGATACAAACCTGAGCCCCATCACTAACTAGGGGTAACGCCCCTGGCAGGTGGCTATAACTCTCTGAGCCTCAGTTTCCTTACCTGTAAAATGGAGGTGTTTCCTCCCCATATGATTGGATATGATGTGTATAAAGGTGCTTCCTTGATTCAGTATGTAATACAGTGGGTGGTCAGAAAATGGTAATTCACTTTCCTCATCTGTAGAATGGGGGCAGCGTGAGTTCCTACTTCTCAGCCTCGCCCTGAGGATGCCACGGGATAAAGACTGAAAGCAACCAGCATGTTGTCATGGTAACCGGTGCTCCATCAATAGTAGGGGACCAGGAGGGTGGGGCAATGAGAGGCCAGCCTCGGGCCCTGAAGGAGGGAAAGGGGCTGGAATTTAGGGGCATCCAGGCCCTGCAGCAGAACCTGAGGTCTTCTGAGGGACCAGGCAGGGTTTGGGGACCACCAACTCACCCCTGATGGAGGATGCACGATCCAGCCCAGCTCCGCTGTCGCTGTGGTTGAGTCCATCAGCGTTTCTGTGAGGAAAGCAAAGAGTCACTGCCGCCCACCTACTGAGTGCTGTCAATCACCCCAAGACCCCCATCCCTCAAGGACCTCCTTTACAGAGCGTCACCTACTTCCATTGCACCAATCAATCATCTGGCTGTACTCCTGCAGACTACCCTCCCTCTAGGTCTCCCACTCCATGATCCCACCCACTCCCACGTTCCGGCCAATCGTCTGATTCTACCCCTCCAGGCTCCACCCCTTAAAGCCCAGCTTCAGCCCTTCTGCCCATGGTCATGCCTCCTCTCAGCCCACCATGTCCCACCAACCTGGCTCCTGCCATTTCCCTCCCTTGTTGGTGGAGAAGGGTCTTAACCTGGACTCTCCTGGGTGGGCTTCAGAGAGTCCACCAGGCAACCCTGGAAATTTTACATCAAACTTAGGGTGTCTGTTTGCTTTTCGGCTTGCATCAAATTCTCAAAAACTGGAATGTGGCCCTTAGAAAGGCCTCTCTTTGGTCCCAGCTGAGCCCCATCAGTTACCCCACCTTGGCTCTCTGGCCTACACCCTCCCCCCTTCTCCAGGCACCTGGAGTCCTCCATAGTGTCCCCACACTGGGGCTCCCTCCCCGAGGGCTCAGTCAACTGTGCTCCTAGGATAGGGCCCTAGGAGTGGGGGGTGGGGTGGGTGGGTGTTGAGTGTGAGCACTGTGCCAAGTAGCTCCAGTCTGTCACCTGCCCTCTGGGGGTTAAAGAAATTCAAATGAGCTTCTGAACCAGCCAGGGCCCCACCTGCCCCTCCCCCGACTCCAGCAGCTGGAAGGAAGGAGCCACACAGCCTGCTGATGAAGACCGCCAGGGCCAGAGAGAGCTCCATTCTTCCCCAGATAAGGCCCAGGACCCCTTCCCACTACCCCATAGGGAATTCAAAACACTTCTTGAGCTGAACTGCACTGAGCAGATTTAAATTGACCCTGTTCAAGCATTCATTCAACACATGTATCCTGATGCTCCTTATGTGCCAGGCACTGGGGACCCCGAGAGAGAAAACGGTGAAGAGTAAGACCCTACTATGGAGTTGTTCACAGTCTAGGAGTGGTGATAAGGCGTGAATACAAATAGCCATGAGCGAGTGGGCAGAGAGACCTAGAAGGTCACAGCTGGACCTTCCACACCAGCTAGCTTGGTGGGCATGGGTGAGGTACGCTTGCTGCTATGCTCTGCTTCTGGGCCCCCGCAGACCTCACGAATCAATGCCCACACTCTCTGGCTGCACGATGCTCCTGGCCTCTGTGTGCCAGGACACTAACACCCACCGCTTGAGATGCTATCCGGGCCCAGCCCCACTGCTTCATTTAGGAGATAGGGCAGCTGAGGCACAGACAGGGGAAGAGACTTCCTAAAGATCCCATAGGAGTTGGTGGCAGAGTGGGAGGTGCAGATCCCCTGCTTCCGACCCTATAAACATCTAGATACTTAGTCGGATAGCTTGGGCTGGATGAACTCGGCTGAGGACAGTGGGGGCAGGGTACACAGTGCCCAGGCCGCCATGAGGGTCGGAAGGGGAGCAACAAGATCTTGAACTAGGGCAGGAGCGGCGTGGATGGGAGGAAGCATTCAGCCAGAGGTGACCCCAGTCAGACCCATGAGCTGACAACAGAGGAAGCAGCAGTGTCCCCATGACCGCCTGTGGCTTATGTCTGCGGTCACTGTGTCCCTTTGCACGGGGGGCTAGTGAGGGGGGAGGAGGGGTGCCAGGGACGCTGGAGTCCAGTGCCAAGGGCGTCTCTTTGATGGCAAATTGGAGGGAAGTTCTATTGTGGGGCTTTGGAGCTGAAAAAAGGGTTCCTTTTCACACTCCGAATGCTACAGATTTTTCTTCCTGGAGAGAACAAGGGCTGAACTTTTAACCTGTTTTCTCTCATCGGCCTCAGCCAGAGACGCGCCAAGCCGGGCTCTCTGCCTGGGCCTGAGGAACAGCTGCTGGGAGCCGTGTGGAACAAGGGAGAGGAGACTCTGCTTGGGACTAGAAAGGGCTCGGGTGGGGGAGGCAAGTGTGCCAAGCAGGTGGCCCCACCCCTTGGCTGGATTCTTGGGCTGACCCAGAGGCCAAGCACTAGAGGATTCCACGGCCCAGAGGAGGGGCTGTGAGCTACATCCTCATTGTATGGGTGGAAGCTCAGGCCCAGAGAGGGCAAATGACTTGCCAAAAGTCACGGACTAAAGGCTGGTGCTCAAACCCCAGGCTCCCAGGGAGCTCAGGCTGGGGGGTGCTCCACGGCCCCCCTCTGCCTCCCACCACACCTGGAACCAGCAAGGGGAGGATCTCAGGAGGCTGGAAGTCAAGGGGCTAGTTAGTTCACAGATAGGAAGGGGCTAAGAGGGAGTGTGAAGTTTGCAGAATACCCTGGGGCAGGGGGACGGGATACAAGAGGCTCCCTTCTCCCCATACCAGTCCTGGCTTTGCCTGGAAGCCTGCCTCTGGGAAAGCTGTTACCCCGCGGGGCTGTGGCCGGAGGACACCCATGGGTGCTCTCCCCCCCCCCCCACTTCCCCTCGGCCTTTTGCTTTTCGACATTGACACCTCCCTCCACGCCCTGCACATAAGGCAGGTAGGCAGAGCAGATAAAGTAGGGGTCGGGAGGTCAGAGGGACTTCGATTCTAACACCCACTCTGCCACCTACTCGCCTTGTAACCTTGGACTTGTAACCTTCCTAAGCCTCGGTTTCTTCACCTAGAAAATCGTCATAGTGCCTTCTGAGTGGGGCCAGGAGGATGGAAGGACAGGGAAGTGTGTTAACTTGGAGCCCCGCGCAAAGCAGAGCCTCAGTGAGGGGCCGATATTCTTTTTTTAGACGGAGCGTGGTGCTTTTTGTCTGACCCAGTGCCTGCACACATGCCATTTCCTCTGGGCTCATGCGGTGGTCCCTGAGAGTGAAGGCGAGTCCAAGAGGCTCTCCCCACACTCCAGACGGTGCTTGCCAACATCTGACAAACATCAGCCTCTAGCCCCAGCGCCTCAGCCTCCGAGGAGCCTTCCTGGTCCATCTGATGCTGCTTTCCTGGGATGTCCTGCATTTCCTCTTTGTTCCTCTCAAAACGAACACGAAAGTCACATTCGGTTCCCTAGGGAGTCTGGGGCTAGTCATTCTTGCCCCAGGAACCTGGGTGGCTTCAGGAAGCCAGGCTTCCTTCCACCACCAGCATTTCCTTCCTTCTCCCCATATCACCCCAGACATCTCCCCTCCAGCCCCAAACATCTGCAAAAGGGAGAGAACTCATGGTCACTGAGATGGAGACCTTTCTATTAGGAGCTGGAGACCCTCACCAACGTTCTTCCAACAATGCCAAGACATAGTTGATACAATCCCATTTCATAGATGGGAAAATTGAGGCTTACAAAGGCTGGGGAACTTGCCCAAGGTCACACATCTTGCATTCACAAGCTGTGGTCCAGCTGTACGGACTGTGTGGGGCTCTCTCTCAGCCCTGTACCCCACATATACTGTTCCTTCTGATCATCTCCCCCTCCACACCTCCTCTGCCTGCCCCCAAGACCCAGCATGGGGCTTGGCACATAGTAGGTCTACAGTTAGAGGCCAAAATCACCCCCCACCCCCAGGCTAATGTTCTGTTCCACCAGAACAACATTCATGACTTCAGCCATTGCCACCTACAACCTGCGCTATATTTAGCTACTATTTATCTTCCAGCTGACTCTTCTTTTAAGTGCATTTTAAAGAGGAAAAAGTTATCATTATTATAAATGGGAAACCAACATCACTTGCCATAAAGAGAAGGAAAATAAGCACACGGCTATTACAATTAAAAAATGTTCCTCTGCAAACTACCTAACATCATTTCACTTCCCACACTTTGGGGACTGCGAGACTGTGCCGAGTTGCTTCTGAAGTGCTAGAAATGTCCCCATCCCATCCCCACTGTGACAATGACAATCCCTCATTCAGGGGAAGCTGTTTTCGCTGTACACAGATAATTAATCACCGTACGATGTGACAAAGGCTGCGACAGGGACGTGCAAGGGGTACTGTGGGTGTGGAAGGAGAGGAAGAAAATGCTCAGCTTAGGGATGGCTTTCCTGGAGGAAGTGACACTTGAATGGCGGCTTGAAGAATGAGTTAGGAGGGAGTCAGGAGAGGCTGAATGGGAAGGGCATGTGAGGCAGAGGGAACAGTGGAGGCAAAGGCGAGGAGGTGAGTGACAGCACGGTCCGTGGGAATGAGTAAGTGTTGGCAAGGGTCGGCAGCTCTCTGAGGCCCCCTGGCTGGACCACGTCCACCTGCCCACATCCCTGCCTGCTCCTCTGGTGCCCTCCACCCCTGCCCTGCCCCACACTGCCCTTTTCCTCGCCCCTGTTCACTCCCACCCCAGCGAGTCCTCTGGAAATGTCTGGTTTGCAGGCCCTGAATATGCTCCGTGACCATCTTTTAAGATCCCAATGGCTGGATGAGGGGACTGAGGCTGGTGGACAGATTCCCAGCACCCCGGAGAAAGCTGGGACCAGGGCCTCCAGCCGCCAACTCGGACAGCCCGCCTCGGTGGGAAAACCGGGTTCGTGCCACGGCAGTGGCTTTGGCCCTAGCCCCGCTGCGGCCGCACCCCCTCTCCTTCCTGGAGACTGCACAGAAGAAAGCAATCAGGAGGCCCTGGTTGCACAGGCTGGGGAGGCCCGTAGGCCCCTCTGGCTATGTGTGAACGAGCAGTGTGCATTTCAGAAATATTTGAGCTAAAAGAGGAGACACACTGAAGTCGTTAGTGTGGAGTCGACAGGAGGGTGGCTGCACGCGGAGGCCCTGGCGGACGCTACCACCACCCCCTCTTTCAGGCTGGGGCAGGCGGCCACCGTCTGCTCCCCAATCCAGCCCTGGTCAGCTCTGTCTGGCCGCTGCGGGGGCCGTGGACAGTTTGTCTGGACTAATCGCAGTGTGTGAGAGTTCCAAAGAGACGAGGAGGAACTTTCTTTAAGCACCTACTGTGTGCCAGGCATTGAGACAGGCACTCTA